GCAGAGAAATGTCACCCCCCCCCCAAGCAATTAATCCAGGCTGTGCGGGAACACAAGGCTGTGCCGCCCACATGGCCCATGGGAACACAAGGTTTGCGTCGCTTGCATTGCGAACAACATGAGGTAGTGAGGGGAGGGGGGAAGGGCGGAGGAGGGGAACTTGCCCCACTCGCCCCACACACCTCACCTGGCCACCGGGCTGCTTCTTTCCGCTTCTTTCTTCTTCTGCTTTTGCTTGCACACAAGGAAAGCAGCCAAAGTCTTCCTTTCTCTCCCTCAAACTCTGCCAGAAATGAGTCTTTGGGACCCTGCAAGGCCTCCTGCTCCAAGAGGCTGCGCCAGGGCGACAAGTTTCACAAAGACTCATTTCTGGGGGAGAGAAAGAAAGACTTATGCTGCTTTCCTTGCATGAAGCCAAAAGTCTCTCTCTCTCTCTTTGTCTCCCCTAAGAACGGAGCTGGAGACAGTATCCTGCAATCCCAAATAAAGAATGATCGATAGGTAGGAAAACGGGGTGGGGAATTTTCCTACAGACTTTTTGGGAGGATTTTCCCAGGGTCTCTGTTCCGCGGGATTTAAAATTATGAGTTGCTGGTCTCTGAGGTCCAAAAGGTTGGCGACCCCTGTTCTAATCAGACCCCCTGCCGAGGCAGGAAACCATACACCACTTCAGACAAATGGTTAACCAACATCTTTTTCAAAAACCTTTCCAGTGTTGGAGGTAGTCCTCGACTTACAACTGTAATGGATCCTGGCCATTACGGTCATAAGTTGTGAGGGTGGTTAAAAAAAGCAGGTGACCATATGACTGGCCTGATTTGCAACCTTTTTGGGGACAGTCGCAAACCCCTGTTCGCTACAGGGTGTTCTTGGCCAGGACCCAGATGTAAATGCAGTTTTGGGCAAAAACATTCAGGGGACTGTAAATGCAAACAGCTGTAAATGCTGGCGGGTTGCGGAGCCGTCCGAATACGATGGCAGGATGGTGGGGAGGGGGGTAGAAGTCAGACCTTCAGAACCAGGCGCTAAGTATCTTTGGGGAGGGGGTCTCTTGCAACATCAAAGGATCACTATGCCACTGGTTATAAGTAGAGATGCGTATGTGTTACGTGTGTTGGGTTATACATGTGTCCACTTCTGAGAGCGGGCAACAGAATTTCATTTGTAATGGGGGCCAGTGTGTCCACAGGGGAAAAAAACAACAATAAAGGTGATCTTATCTACCTAAAGGGAAGTGGTGGCTCAGTGGCTAAGACACTGTGCGTGTTGATCAGAAAGGTCGGCAGTTTGGAGGTTCGAATCCCTAGCACCCCCGTAATGGAGTGAGCTCCCGTGACTTGTCCCAGAAGCTTCTGCCAACCTAGCAGTTCGAAAGCACGTTTAAAAAATGCAAGTAGAAAAATAGGGGCCCCTTTGGTGGGAAGGTGACAGCGTTCCGTGCGCCTTATCGACGTTTAGTCATGCCGGCCACATGACCACAGAGACGTCTTCGGACAGCCCTGGCTTTTTGGCTTTGTAATGGAGAGGAGCACCACCCCTAGCGCCGGAAATGACTAGCACGTAGGTACAAGGGGAACCTTTACCTTTATCTACCTAATCTTATAGATTGGGGCAGCATTATTGGGATGCAGTGAAGGAAGAAGGCAGGGGGCATTTACTTGTGGGGGGGGTTAGGGCAGGGGACATTTACTTGTGCTTTGGCCAAATCCCAGATTGGAGGGGCTGCACCTCCTGGCGGTGTGGACCCCCCACCCACATCCAGGCCCATCTTGCTCAGAGGTTTGCACACCTGTGTCTTCCCTTAGGGCCCGTCTCAACCCCTCGAAAAAGGGGGCCCAAAGATTTTCAGGCAAGTCTGGGCCATTTTGTGCTGCTTGGGGTGGGGGAGTGGCCTTGGTCCTGTGTAGCCAGCCGGGCCCCTGCCAAGGTTGTTATAGTAACTGGGAGCGGACAAGAACATCCATTGATGCAGTTTTCTGGGTCTTCATTCAGAAGAGCGAAGGGAAGCACCAGCCGCAAAGGCGGCCTGGGATTGGACAATTTTGGGTGTCCCAAAACATGCTAATGAAGAGAAGAGAGCGCCTCCCAGGAATGTTAAGCAGAGCGTGGCTGCCTTTTCACAGGAAAATGGGTCACTTTCTTGGCTGCTTGGTTACCATTCACCGGCCTGGCTCTGGAGGCTCCAATCAGCAGGCGGTGGGGAGGGGAACCTTGGCTCTCCTCTGGCCTTGGATGCCCTCTCCCCTCCCGCCTCTAGGGCTCTTCTGGGCCTGCCCCATTGAGAGCAGGTGTACCGGGGGGGATGTGAGCTGCCTTGGGGGTCCCTGGCTGCAATTAGGGTCCCTGAGCCTTTGGGGAAAAGTCCAGCTTACGAGATGGACTTGGTCCTTTGTCCAATGTCTGCCATTGGGTGCTGCCAAATTTCTTCACTCTTCCCCACACCATCTCCCATTGCACTGCCTGTGTACCCCAAAAAAGGAGAATCTTTGTAGCTCAGGGTTGAAATCAGGGGTCCTGGGCAGTAGTGGGAGCCTACTACCAGTTCGGTGGGTGATCAATTGTGCGGATGCATGCCCCTAAGATGTGCACGTGCCCCTAACACACCAATCAGCTGAGAGGATGAAGAAACAAACATCGAGGAGTGACCTTCCCACCCACCCGTGGGCTTTTCTCTTCTTTTATCCTCTCAGCTGATCGGAGGCTTTTTTTTTTTTTTACTACCGGTTCAGGCAAACCGGTCCAAACCGATAGCATACCACCACTGGTCCTGGGTGTCAGGTGCCATCACACGACCAAAAGAAAGCACAACAGCCACAACGGGATTTGATGTAACCTGTTTATCTTCCTCCGGAGTTTACAAGCACTTAAACTGACCAGCTGCTAGACAATGCAAGCTAACAGAGATTAAAGTCAGGGCTAATCCCTTAGCTTGCCCCACCATCTTTCGACACCCGATGTGCCCTGCCCCAATTATCCTGGCACGCCCCGACTGGCAGGCACAAGCTCAGATTTCCCGAGAGGAGCTCGCCCCTCCCAGCTGTCGGTCCTATGCGATTTCCCTCTCACCTCTTCTGCCATCGCTCGAGTTACGGCTGCAAGCTCACGACACCTAAATGTTTGGGAGTCACAGGGCTTCATAGCAATGTCCACGACTGGCGGCTTATATGATCGGGAGTCAGAGGGTTTCGTAGCAATGTGCACGGCCACCCTGACCCCCGAATGTCGGGCTGACACTGGGTGTTCTCTGAGCTTGCCTGTTTTCTTGCAGATGTTTCATCACCCCACCAGGGAATGCCATCAGTGCTAGAAGGGGGTAGGGTTCACTCTGATGACGTTAGCTAGTTGGGTCATGAAACATCTGCAAGAAAACCACCCAACAAGCAACAAGGACCCTTCAAGGAAAGGGTGCCTGGTGGAGAAGCAGAGGGGGGGGACTGACCGGACAGCACTGGTTTCCTAGCTCAGAGGAAGGAGAAGGTCTTGGATCATGGGGGTTGGGGCTTCCAAGGGTCTCCTTGAACCTTGGAGGCTGGCCAGCATGAGTGGCTCCCTCTTGAGGCTTGCAGGGCTGAAACGAACGGGCTTTGAAAAGGCTTTAGAGCAATTGCAACCTTGCGTGATGGTGCCGTGGGTGAGTCGGCCGGCCATATTGATTTATTGAATAAAGAAAGGAATACATGAACTCTCCCAAGGGGCCTCCTCCCTGGCTTGGGAGGAACCCTCTGAATTATCACCCTGGGCGAGAGAGAACCCAAGGGCTCCATTTGCTGCCTTCACCACTGGCCCACTCTGGGACTTCTCGGATGCTCTGGGGCTGCCGGCATGGCTGGCAGGGTGTGCTTTCTTCTCTCTCGAGACAGACCCGCTGCCTTGAAAGGGGAGCTCAGGCAAGGCCTTGCCAGCTGCTTCGAGCCTCGCTAGCGGTTGCTTTGTGCCCCTCTTCTCGGGGGGTCCCAAGCACAGCCCCACCTCCTCTTTCCCCGGCTGAGGACGTTGTCCAGAAGTAGGAGGCCAAGCGAGGCCCCGGCCCTCTTGGCAGTGGTGTATGAACCATTAAGCAGACTAAGCAACGTGCTTAGGGCACGAGGCCCAAAGTATGTACAGTATGCACAAAAGAAGAGGGAGGCACCAAGATTTGTCAGTGCTTACGGTACCAGTGAGTCTTAACCTGCCCTGCCTCCTCTATTTTATTTATTTGATTTGTCAATTGCTTACAAGATAATAGGTATAAGTATAAACATAGTTATGAATACATATGAATACATATAAGAAAAATAAAAAGAAACAATAGGACAGGGACGGTAGGCACATTGGTGCGCTTATGCACGCCCCCTACAGACCTCTTAGGAAAGGGGTGAGGTCAATAATAGACAGTCTAAGGTTAAAGTTTTGGGATTTGGGGAAGAAACCACAGAGTCAGGTAGAGGATTCCAGACATTGACCACTCTGTTGCTGAAGTTGTATTTCCTGCAACCAAGTTTGGTGTGGTTAACATTCAGTTTGTATCTATTGTGTGCTCTTGTATTGTTATGGTTGAAGCTGAAGTATTCATTTGCAGGTAGGACATTGCAGTGGATGATTTTATATACTATACTTAGATCGGACCGAAGGCGGCGTAGTTCTAGGTTTTCTAGGTCTAGAATTTTGAGTCTGGTGGCATAAGTTACTCTACAATGAGTAGAGGAGTGGAGAACTCGTCTCGTGGAATATTTCTGGACTTTCTCAACTGTGTTAACATCAGATACATAATGTGGGTTCCAGACTGATGAGCTGTATTCAAGTATTGGTCTAGCAAATGTTTTGTATGCTCTATAGTTAGTAGTGTGATATTACCAGAGAAAAAGCTACGCAGGATGAGGTTAACAACTCTTAATGCCTTTTTGGCTATGTAGTTACAGTGGGCTCTAGCACTTAGGTCATTTGAGATGAAGTACCCCAAGGTCTCTTGGGGGGCCTTCCTTTCCTCAAGGGTGGGACTGATGCTTGCTCTATCTTTGCAGAGTCGCCTCAAGGAAGCCGTGCAGCTGCTGGAAGACTACAAGCAGGGCTCGCTGCCCCCGGGAACCACCAACCAAGAGGTGATCGGAGGGAAGGAACCCCCACCGTCCCCTGAAGGAGAGACCTGGGCCTGGTGTGGGGACAACCAGAGGTTAGGTAGTCAGATGCTGCCGATGCAGAGGGTGTGGCAGCTGTGCCCTTCCTGCCTGTGCCTCAGTAGCCCCCTGCCCCATTGCCGCGAAGGGCCCTCGAGCGTCTCTTCCCAAGAGGAGCAGAGGTGTGTAGGGCGATGTTTCGGGGGGGAGGAATTCCTTCTTGCTAGATCCTAGAGCAGTGGCCCACAACCTTTTTTGTGCCGCGGCCCGGTACCGGCATCACAAAATGATCCGCGGCCCGGTACTGGCATCAGCACGCATGACAAGGCAAGGCGAGCCGAGCGACCAGCCAGCCAGTTGTCCCCCACTTCTCCCCGCCACCTTCAACTCCTCCTTTGTACCTTCGTCGATGGGCTTCGCTTCGGGACGGCCACTTGGCTCGGCTTGCCTTGGGTGCTGAAAGAATCCTCGCGCCTTAGTTTCATTCAAAGCCGCCCCCCCTTCGATGAAACTAAGGCGCGAGGATTCCTTCAGGACCCAAACGCCGCTTTGCAACCGGAAAAGCTCACCCGGAAGCACTTTTTCATCAAACAAGATGGCGGCGCCCAGCAAACCGGCGGCCCGGTAGGAAATATTCCACGGACCGGTACCGGTCCGCGGCCCGGTGGTTGGGGACCCCTATCCTAGAGGATTCCTCCAAAAGGGCAGGAATGTGCCCGGTGGAACTGCCAGGTGTTTTCCAAGTATTTTCCTTTGATCTTTCTCGATCCAGGTGCTCAGGGGTTCGATAGTTTGGATTCCATAATTGGCATTATTTAATAGCTGGTATTGGAGGGGGGTATTCAGCCGGTTATGACCAGTTCTGGAGAACCGGTAGCGGAAATTTGGAGTAGTTTGGAGAACCAGCAAATACCACCTCTGACTGGCCCCGCCCCCATCTCTTCTCTGCCTCCCATTGAGTCCCAGCTGATCGGCTGGGTCTCCTTTGGTTGCCCTGCACAGAAGAACGGAGCTGGAAAGTAGGTTAGTGGGATGGGGAGGGAAGGGGGATTTTGCAGTATCCTTCCCCTGACACGCCCACCAAGCCACGCCCACCAAGCCACACCCACAAAACTGGTAGTAAAAAATATTGAACGCCACCACTGGTTGGCATCCAGCAGCATTGGATGCTTTGGCCGTATTGGACAGCCGATGAGAGCTCGTGCAGGCAGTCCTTAACATACAGCCACAACAGAACCTGCCGATTATGGTACTATGTAATGACGGTCGTAAATCAGGTTGGCCACGTAACGTGATTTTACAACTTTTTTGTGGTGGTCATGATAGCCATTATGTTCCTGGTGAACATGGTGGTCATAAAATGAACCCCGTGGTCATTAAGCAAACCCATTGTTTGCAATGTTGTGGTTTTCCAAAAATATCGTAAAGCACAGTCACATGAGCGTGTGACCCATAAGTGCAGTCGGGTACCCCAAGTCCCTGAAGCCATAGGGCTGAGAGGAAGGAGAATGGCAACCGTTCGAATTTCAGAGGAGGGATGTAATTCCCTTTTCCCAGTGAGGTCACAACTTCAGGTGTTTGCTAAGTTTGCTAAGGGAAAGTTGAAGTCACCTATATTTCATAGATGCCCTAAAGCAGGGGTCTCCAACCTTGGCAACTTTAAGATGTCAGGGTTCCGGCGATTGCCCTAATTGAATCATGAGGCTCGAGCCAAACTTCAAAAAAAAAAAACTCAGAAGATTTATTAGGAGCAACATGCCAGCATTAACTTAAATGAAGCCAACTCTGGGATACGTAATATACAGTCACCTGTCACCCTCTTTTTCACCTCCCCCCCCGGGTGTATCGTAAATCAGATGCGCCAATGAAGCACGTTGACGGGCTGGGTGTCATCCATCACATTCTCCAATTAAGGGATTTCGTGGGCGGAAGATCTGGTAGCTTAGTTACAATCTTTTTAAGATAATGGTGGAATGTACTTCTGGTTTTGAACTGCCACCCTGCTCCTTCAGATCCCACCCCCTCCCTGTTTATGCCAACTCTAGAACAGGCATAGGAATGACCTAAGACTTATGGACTTCAATTTCCAGATCTCTGGGAGTTGAAGTCCACAAGTCTTAGTTGCCAAGTTTGGAGACCCCTGCCCTAAAGCCCTTGAGTTCTGAATTCTGAAATGGAGGACCTTCTCCTGGCCCAGATCCCAGCTTTTAGCTCTGGTTTCAGCTGCCACTGGGAAGGCCAGGCTCAGCCCTTCACCTGGGGGTCTCCGGGGCCAGGCCTTTGCATGGGCAGATTGTGGAACAGTCCCGAAGTTGCACCGCAATTGACAACCAGCAGCCCAGCCACAACCAGCAGGTTCCCTGGAGTAGCTTGAGAGGAAGAGATAATTGCTGCCCCTCCTCCCGATGAAAGTTACCGACGATCTGAGCTGCCCCAGTGGAGGGCTGGTCAGGGCTGCCTGTGGCACGGATCAGAGGTGGTATTCAGCCACTTCTGACCGGTTTTGGTGTACCGGAAGCAGAAATTTTGGGTAGTTCAGAGAACCAGGCAAATACCACCTCTGGACGCCCACACCCACCCATCCCCGCTGTTATCTCTCCTATATTCCCGTGTTTTTTAGCTCAGCTGATTCCTGCGGCTCAGCTGAGCTAACAATTGCACAGCTCAGCTCACCAGCATTGACCCCGAGGGCAATCTTTGAGCCCCGTGCACGCACATGCGAAGCGAAGCACGCTCTCGGAACCGGAAGGGGGTGGGGAAAAAAAGGGAAACCCACCACTGGACCACAGACTGGAAGCGAGCAAGTTCCAAGCCAGCCAGCCTGCTTCGACACAGGCCTGCCCTCTTTCAAAGAAATTGCCCTTCCTGACTCTCGTGGATCAGAGGAACTGTGGAAGGCAAATAAAAGGAAGGTGTCAGGGGTGAACGTGAGAAGAAGACGGAGGAAGATAAAGAAAGCAAACTGGATGTCAGAGCAAACAATGAAAGTCGGTGGAAAGGAAAAGAAGATTCCGAAGAGGGAATCTCGGGGAATTTTTAGAGACCTTTTCGGAGAGAATCAACAGGGGTGGGCGGGTTCTTCTCCCTCCCCACTGGCTGCTTCCTGGCCAAACTAGGATAGTCATTCCACACACACACACACACACACACACCGGCTCCATTTTCTTCCCAGCCTTAATTAGCATTAGAAAGGAGCCTTTTCTCACCTGCCAAGGCCCCCTGCAGTCCACACAATTGTGTGAGAGGCCCCCCTGGGAGAGCCTTTGGGATCTGCTCCACTTAGTGACCGGTTGGGCAGCTGAATCCTTCCCAGCTTCCTTCCATTCCAACTTCCTTCGAGGATGTTGTGAGGACTCATTAATTAACAGTGGTAAAGTGGTTATTTAACTGCTCTGGATTTTTTTATTACCTTGTCGCTTGCAGAACTTACCGGCTCCTCCTCTGCTGTTGCTTTTTGCTGTTTTATACCTGCGTAAATCCCCTGGCTCTGGCAGGACTTCTCGGCGGCTCCTCCTCGGCTGGGTGCGATCAGAAGAAGATTGAGCTTCTGATTTGCACAGCTGGAGGACAGCCAGGCGCCTCGCCACTTTTCCCACCCCAGCTATTCGAGGCCGATGTCTCTCGAGTCAGCCACACACATCCAATCATGTGGAACGGCAGGGCTGGCTCGGGTGCTAAAAAGTGTTTTGGAGGCCAATTTAAGCACCGAAAGCAAACTGAGCGGAACCCAGCGGAATCCGCTGTGAAGAGGAGGCTGATGTGAGAAGGAAAAGGCTGATGAGAAAGAGGAGGCTGCCAGCGGTGTGCGTATGTGCGTTTGTGTGTCATCCAGACGGTCCCTCCTGCTAGCCATCTCTGGCGCAAAGGATGAAAGACAGGCAAGCCGCTTGCCTGCTAAGCCTTGGCCACTCTGCGACCTCCGGATGTGTAGAGATCAAGGAGCACTGGAGGTATTCTACTGGTTCACCCCGGTTCGACCAAACCGGTAGCTCCGAGGATCATCTGTGAGCAAACCGGTTCGCTCTGACGATCAGCTGCTGGGCCCTCCCACCTGCCCCGGCTGTATGCTGACCTTTATTTCCTGCTTCGTGCGGCACAGCGGATTGTCGTGCATCAGCTGTTTGACACACAGGGCTTGCAGCCGAAGATGAGTTGCCAACGCTACGTGCACACAAAGCACAAGCTCACACTGAAACGGTAGGAAAACTTTTTGAAACCCACCGCTGTCAAGGACCATATTAGCCGGGATGGCGAATTGGTCCAGCACGTTAGGAAGGCACCAGGTTTGGGAAGGCTTATCAAGCATCTGAATACGATACGGAGATGAATTGCAGTGCCATTCAATTTTGTAGATGTGCTCAAAAATAATTCCCTAAAATACTAAAGGCTTGGTTTGTGTGCGGGAACTGTGACACAAGAGCAGAGGTGAGCATTCAGCAGGTTCTGACCTGTTCTGGAGAACCGGTAGCGGAAATTTTGAGTAGTTTGGAGAACCGGCCAATCCCACCTCTGACTGGCCCCGCCAACTCCATCTCTTCTCTGCCTCCCATCGAGTCCCAGCTGATCGGCTGGGTCTTCTTGGGTTGCCCTGCACAGGAGAACGGAGCTGGAAAGCAGGTTAGTGGGAATGCCTAAGCCACACCCACCAAGCCACGCCCACAGAACTGGTAGTAAAAAAAACTTGAATCCCACCACTGCTTCAGGAGGAGCAGTTGGCTTTTGAAGCCTGGTCCCATTTCTCACCTCTCAGCCGCTTTCGCTCAAAGCTTTGGAAGAGCAGAGAATCCCTTCATTCAGCACCCTGACTGGTCCACCTATGGAGCAAACCCTCACTGGACAGCAGGGCCAAGAACCGGATGCAGGACCCTAATCTGCACCCCAGACCCAGCTGGCTTTTCTGGGTCTTCTTGGGTTGCCCTGCACAGGAGAATGGAAGCAGGTTAGTGGGGTGGGGAGGGAAGGGGGATTTTGCAGTATATCCTTCCCCTGCCCTGCCCACCCAACCACGCCCTACATAACCCGTAGTAAAAAAAAAAATTGAATCCCACCCCTGCAGAAGAGCTTACTGGGAAGCTGAAAATCCGGCCTCTTCCCTTGTTTACCTGATCAGAGACCCTGAACCCCAAAAGAACTGCTTCCACTTGGATCGATAATGAATCTATTCTCCGCCTCCCATTGAGTCCCAGCTGATCGGCTGGGTCTTCTTGGGTTGCCCTGCACAGGAGAACGGAGCTGGAAAGCAGGTTAGTGGGAATGCCTAAGCCACACCCACCGAGCCACGCCCACAGAGCTGGTAGTAAAAAAATTCTTCTACAGAAATCCTGCTTGCATTGGGCTTCTCTGTGACACCATTTCCCCTTCTTTCATTCAACAATTCTGCACCCCAAACATTTATTTCTGTGCGACCAATTAGGGAGCTGACGTGAAAGACATAAGAAACGGTTGTCTCGGAGGCGCAGACTGAGATGTCTCCACCCCTCGGCCACAAAAGTGCCCAGATGTCCAGCAAGAGACCCCGAGGCCTCTCTGATTTTGAAAACTTTTTTGGGGGAGGGGGGATGGACCGGCCGGAGGCCCTTGGCTGTTGACAGAGCAGGACCGGAGCGGGACATCAAAAACCATCTCCTTGAATTGAGTGGCCCTTCTAGGACGGGGGCTGCAGAGGCCCCGGCCAGCTGTTTTCCTGAGGGTGGGACTCTGCCTTGATTGGCCTAAGGAGAGGAAGCGCCCCTTCCTTGCTCCAAGAGGGGGAGGGCAATGTTGCCCCCTCCCCATCTAACCAACCGCAGCACACATGCCCCCCCCCCACTACAAGCATCTGTCTGGCTCCAGTTGTAGGGCAGGGTTAGTCAACCCCTTCCCTCCCGTCCCCTCAGTCGGCGTCGGGTTGAGGTGGGTATCACTCAGAGCTTTCCTTCCCCTCCAGTGAATCTGACCTCCTGCTCTCCTCCTTGCCATCCCACCCCACCCCTCACCCCACTTTTGGATAAGGGTCCTCCTTAACCATGTCTTTTGCTTTTCCAGCTTTGGAGAGCGCAGAAAATAAAACAGGTAACCCGCGCAGGGTCCCTCTTGGGGGATGGAGGATGGGTTCTCTCGGGGCCGCCTGGCGGGGAAGGCAGGGCTCCCTTGTGATGGCCAGGTGCCTCTTTGTCCCCAAGTAGCCATCCTGGGCATGGGGGGGGGGGGCAAGCCCAGGAAGCCTTTGTCTTTCCATTTGCCACCTGCTTCTCCAGAGCGCGAGGCCTTGCGGGGCGCAGCCATTCCAGAGCCTGGCTTGGGAAGAGGTGGGATTTGGAGTTTAGATTCCTCCGCATTCCCATAAGGATAAGTCAAGGTTTTCCTTCCTCCGCCTCCACCCCGATTAGCTTGACTTCAGCCTGGGTGGCTGGGGGAGGGACAGTGATTTTAATCCCCTCCCTCAAGGTGCCAAGAAAAAGGGTTTTTTTGTAATGGAAGATGAGAAGGGCCCCAGAAAGGGTGGGGAGGTGTGGCCCAAGGAGGGGTTAGATGAACGTTTGCAGGAACTGGGCCTGGCTAGTCCAGTGAAGAGAAGGACCAGGGGAGACATGAGAGCAGTCTTCCAATATTTGAGGGGCTGCCACAGAGAGGAGGAGGGGTATTTTGAAAGGCACCTGTAGGCCAGACAAGGAATAATGGAATAACAAGGAGAGAGTCAACCTGGAAATAAGGAGGAATTTAACAATCAACTGATGGAACAGAAGTTGCCTTCAGAAGTTGTGGGAGCTTCATCGCTTGAGACTTTCAAGAAGAGACTGGACTGCCATTTGTCAGAAATGGTATAGGGTCTCCTGCTTGGGCGGGGGGGTTGGACTAGATGACCTATGAGGTCCCTTCCAACTCTTAATCTGTAAGTAAGAGGGGAAGGAGCCATAACTGAGAAAAGGGTAGAGAAAGAAATTTAGAAATGAGCCGCCTGGACATCTCAGGCTGTAAAAGAGACAGTGGGAGGTTTGTATGCAAGACTCGGGGAGTGTAGCCTTACAATAAAATAGAATTGGCTCACCTTGGGGGGGTGTTTCCTGCCTGGTTTACTCAGGAGGGTGGCGGTTTCCAGGGTACCTGCCTCCAATTTCACTGCATTTCCTCCTTTTCCAGGCCATCATCCATCCGGACACGAACGAGACCATCTTCATGCCTTTCCGAATGTCAGGTATGGTCCAGGGTGGGATCCGACTGGCATAACGACCGGTTCGGGGAGCACATGCATGCACGTCGAATGCACGCTGCATGTGCGTGCATGCTGTTGGCTCTGGCAAGCATTTACCTTCTCCGGCTGACAAGCGACCACTCAGCTGTGCAGCACAAAGCAGCTGAAAAGGAAAACGCAGCCACTACAGGACAGCCTAGAACCCTGGCTGGTGGGTGGGCCAAACAGCAGACCCAAACCTCATCCCAGCAAACCGGTTCGGTGTCAGCTGCTCTTCGGAGCTACCGGTTCTATAGAACCGGACCAAACTGGTAGGACCCCACCCCTGGTATGACCCTCGTGCAGATTTGCTGGGTTTCGGGCGCTCACCTCCAAACTTCGGTGCTTCTCAAGTGCGGTCAGTGTCCAGCCACTCCATGACCACTCTCTAGCTCAGCAGGAGAAATTCTTCTCTGCCCCGCTTTCGGAGGACAGCCCGATCCCAGAAGCCGAGGGTCCCTCCACTGTCCCCCGCCTCCCTCCCGCTGGAAACTATCAAGCGGGTAAAAGAGGGTGAGGATGATGAGATCGGTCACCCGGATGGATCCCAGCTGGTCAACCAGGGAGAGCCATCTGCCCAGAATCCTTGAGGTTGGCTTCCTGCCCTGGGGCTGGACCTGATGGCCTCAGGAGTCGCGCCCAACCCTCGGATTCCCATCCCCTTTAGGTGACCTTGATTGGCTGTTAAGGAGCCCACGTGACCGTCCTCCACTCGGGGCTCTGGTGCCTGTAAATCCACACTCTGCCCTTGTGTGAAACCCTGTTGCTCTGTGTCTTCTCTCGTGGGAGCAAGGAAAGGCAGCGTAGGCGCGCTAAGGGAATAGTTACAGGAGCCTCCTTCCCTCACCCAACAGGTGTATTTGGGCTAGAACTCCCAGGATTCCTCACGTGGTTGGGCATTCTGGAGGTTTTGAGTTTACTCCCATTTGGGAATCCTGGCTGCGAAACTCTGGCCGGCCATTAGAGGGCCCCGGTGGAACGTCTCTTGTATGCTGCCCTCTAGTGTTTCCCTGGAGTTCTTGCCGCCCTCACATCCAGGAACTCTTCTTGGGTTCGTCTGGGTCTCAAACCACGCCTTTCTTTTTTTTTTCCCCCTTAGGTTACATTCCTTTTGGCACGCCTATTGTAAGTGTGAAAGCCTTCCACCTTCGTTCTGCGTAGCAAGAAATGCCTTTCTTAGTTTTGACTTCCGGTTCTCCGTCGGGACGTTAGTGACGGGCTCCTTATGGGGCCCTTCTCGGCTTGCTGCTGCTTGGGGCCCACGGAAGGGGCCTTGGGGGCTGATTGGGCACAGTTTGTGGAGCACCAAAGACCCCTTTCCTCTCTGGGACCCCTGCCTCCCCTGGCTGAAGTGGGTGGGTTGCCCTCTGCCTCCATCCAATATGGCCGCTTCCGGTGGGTGAAGGACCAGGAAACGGGAACGGCTGGCTCAGCGAGCGGAGGCAGCGCCTGGGACGGGGATGGAAGATCTCTGCGGTCAGAGAAGTGGCATCGAGCAACGTCTGGCTGCCATTTTGTGGGGCTCTGGGGCTTTTTAAGGGGGCGTTTGCTTGGGGCAAACCTTGTGTGTGTGTCCAGCTCTGCAGTGGCTCCAGCCCTTTGCCTCCTTCCGGGGGAAGCACTGGCCCCCCTCTGCCGTCGTTCTCCTCCTGGGGAGCCGCCCCCTCCCTCCCTCTCTTTCTTTGGGGAGGTTCTGGCTACATTGCCGGAGACATATGGGCCTCACAGTAATGATCTCTTGAAGCAAGGCATGGCAGGGTTCCCAGCGTAAAGAGGGGAAAGGTGTCCTTATTTATGTTTAACATTTGGGTGGTAATCTGTAATTAACTTTGCAAAAAAGTTAAACACAAATTTGAGTTAGCGATCAGGTTGACACCAGAATCGGCCCAAATCCAGACCTGTCAGAGGAGCTGAGATCTGTCAGCGGAGCCTCCATTTCGCAAGCTGTAAATGATAAACTGGAACCCCTTGTCATAAAGCAAAAAAAAAAAAAAGAAAAATGATTTTCAAATGTTACATTTTAATTTTAACATTTATGCCAATTGATCTGTGAAATGTAGTGACATAATTGGCAGCTCTCTCAATCCCCATCTGAGTTTTCAACTGAGCATACTGGGAAGGGAGGAGGGGACGTTTGCGGGATGGATGGAGGCTGGGAACTCCCTTCCTCTTGCCTTCCTTCCTCCTCCTTTTGTATTCTCCTTTCTTTCTTTCCTCCCTCCCTCCTTCCCTCCGTCTCATCCCTTTTTCTGTATTTTCCTTTCCTTCCTTCTTTCCTCTTTCTCTCCTCCTCCTCCTCCTCCTTCCCCTTCTTCCTCCTTCCTTCCTCCTCTTTCTCTTCTCCTTCTCTCCTCTTCTCCTTCCTTTTCTTCCTCTTTCCTTCCTTCCTCCTCTTCCTCTTCCTCCC